TCATCTGCAAATATGGCCGATGTTTCACAGTTGAATACAGAAGAACAGTCACCTAATTCCATTCCAAATTTTTCTTCTGAGCAATTACGACAGATAGCACAAGCCTTATCTGCAATCAATCATCACCCTTCTGGTAATTCTGACAATTACATCAATGTTGCAGGTTTGTTTCCCATATCTACATTATCTATTAACTCTGCGAGTTCTAATTCATGGATTCTCGATAGTGGAGCTACGGATCATATAGTATCAAAATCTTCTGTTATGACTGAACCAAAGGCTGCCATCATGTCTACAATAAATTTGCCTAATGGAGAGACAGCACGTGTGTCACATACTGGCAATATTTCCCTTAGCCCTAACCTTAAATTAAACAACGTTTTATGTGTGCCTTCATTCAATTTAAACCTAATGTCGATCAGCAAACTTACCAATAACTTGAAATGTTATGTCACCTTCTATCCTGATTCTTGTGTTATGCAGGACTTGGCTACGGGGAAGATGATTGGCTCGGGTAAACAATTTGGAGGTCTCTATCATATTTCTTCATCTCCAATCAAGTCTTCAGCTCATCAAGTATCTCAGTCATCTGATTTGTAGCATTTACGCCTAGGTCATCCTTCCTTTTCTCGTTTTAAATTTCTAGCTGATCAATTGCATCTTAATAATGCGAGTTATTCTCATAATTGCAGTATCTGCCCGTTAGCAAAACAAACTAGGTTGTCTTTCCCAAGAAGTTCAATAACAACCCATTCTGCTTCTGATCTGATACATTGTGATGTTTGGGGACCACATAAAATTCCTACCCATTCTGGTTTGCGTTTTTTTCTCACTATTGTTGATGATTTTACTCGATGTACTTGGGTTTTTTTAATGCAACATAAGTCAGAAGTACATCATTTGTTGATGAACTTTGTTAAATTCGTTCAAACTCAATTTCATACTACTATCAAGATAGTTCGATCAGACAATGGGACTGAGTTCCTATCTTTGCAACCATTCTTTACTTCTTGTGGTATTGAATTTCAGCGCACTTGTGTCTATACTCCACAACAAAATGGAGTCGTAGAACGCAAGCATCGCCATATCCTAAATGTAGCTAGGTCTCTTCTTTTTCAGTCACAGGTTCCACTTAATTTTTGGGGAGAGTGCATTTTAACGGCTGTTTATCTTATAAATAGAACGCCATCACCATTATTATCTAACAAGACACCCTTTGAAGCACTCTACAAACGACCACCTACATTTCATCATCTTAAAGTTTTTGGTTGTAAATGTTATGCAACTATAGTACATCCTAAGCAAAAATTTGAACCTAGGGCAACTCCTTGTGTTTTCGTAGGATATCCTTGTGGTCATAAAGGTTATAAGTTGTATGACATGCAATCTCACACATTCTTTATCAGCCGTGATGTCAAATTTTGTGAAGATGATTTTCCTTTTTCATCAGCTTCACAAAATTTGACATCACGGCTGATAAAGAATGTGTGAGATTGCATGTCATACAACTTGTAACCTTTATGACCACAAGGATATCCTACGAAAACACAAGGAGTTGCCCTAGGTTCAAATTTTTGCTTAGGATGTACTATAGTTGCATAACATTTACAACCAAAAACTTTAATCAGCTTCACAAATTTTGAATGTTCCACTGTCCGAACCAGCATTATTATATTGTGATAATCAAGCAGCATTACATATAACAGTCAATCCAGTTTTTCATGAACGTACGAAACACATTGAAATAGATTGTCATATAGTTCGAGAAAAATTACAAGCTGGAATCATCAAACCGTGATACCTTAGAGCCTAAACACCTTAGAGCTTGCCGTGATAATTAGTTAGAATATATCTTAGATATTTAGGAAGCTGTTAGTATAGATTTGATTAACCGTATATTTTATTTATTTACCAGATTTAATTAGATATATATTTTTCTATTTTTAGGTATTAGTTGATAGTTTGTATCTATTTAAACGTGTAAACCTGAATGAAGATCATACTTTCGATCCCAATTCTATTTCTATTTCTCATTCTTAACATACTATTATAAAATATGATAGCGAAATTACTCATAAACATGAAAACATAGGTAGGTAGGCATGAAATTAAAACAACTTCAAGTAAAGCTTTTCTATGATTATTCAATTCCATACTCGATCTCTTCCATTTCGAGGAGTGATCTCTCGATTTCAAACCGAAGCACCACGTTTGCTTTATTGTCATGCCATGGTTTAAATTTTAGTGAGGGACACTACTTTGCACTTAAAGGTGGAGTTGATCCATGCATAACAAAAATGGCAAAAAGAGAGGTGGAAATAAAGAACACAGTGTGCCGTTTTGGCTAACTTTGCGTACAAGTTGGGTCTCCTGCATACATACAAATTGATTTGATTTTTGTAATTTTTCAGTGCAAAAACATAAAATAAAGTAATTATATTATAATCAAACTAAATTTATATCACAACAATACCCACACTATACTATACTTTTACTTATAGTTTCATTAATTGTCCACTTGACTGGATTTCAAAATCATTCATAAACTTGATTTGATAGGCTAGGACTTAAAACAACTTCAAGTGGAATTTTTCTTGGAACAGTTGATCCAAAACCCTCTTCCATGTCAAGTAATTCTTCGGATGGCCTCTCAATTTCAAAATTCTGAAGTAGATTTGCAAGGGTAAGATGCATAAATTGAAGGGCAAATGAGATTCCAGGACACATTCTTCGACCACTTCCAAATGGCATTAGTTGCTGATTTTGTCCTCTCATGTCAAACTTTGTATCACTTGTTAAGAATCTTTCTGGACAAAATTCACAAGGATCCTCCCAAACAAGTGGATCTTTTTGCAGTTTTTGAACATTCACTATAAGGCGTGTCTTTGCAGGGATATGATAACCTGAAACTGTACAATCTTCTACAGATTCATGAGGGATTAGCAATGGCGCGGGAGGATATAAGCGCAATGTCTCCTTTATAATGGCTTGGAGATACGGTAGATTTTTGACATCGGACTCTTTTACTTGTCTTGTTCCAACTTTTTCACCTAATTCATGTTTTACCTTGTTGAGTGCTTGTTGGTTGTTGAGGAGTAGAGAAAGAGCCCATGTCATAGTAATCATTGTAGTGTCGGATGCACCCAATACGATAGCCTACATAATATCGTAATTTATTTTATTATTCCATCTTAACTAAGGAGAAAATAAGAATTGAATCCGAATAAAATTGAAATGTACATATATGCTTACCAAACAAGTGGCTTTGGTGACTGTATCCGCATCATAACCACATAACCCTCCGTCGTCGTGGACAGCAGAAAGCATGACATCCATGAAGTCTTGCTCCCCTGTTTCTCCACGTTCACCCGAAGTCTTGGTCTTCTCTCGATGCTCTTTGATCCATTTAGTAAGCATTTGGTCAAGCACCTTGGCGGTCTTGTTCATGGCCTTCTTATACCCTCCCAAATCCAACCAACTTAGACATGGAAACGAATCTGAAGGAACAAATGCCCCAAACAGTTCAAAAACATCCCTCAACGCTCCTCGGTACTGCTCCCCACCACTGCCTTCCAAATCAGTGCTGAATTGCTTTCCGACCATCATCCTAAATATTGTGTTCAGACTTAGATCCCCAAACCACTTCCTCATCTCAACCCTCACTTTCCCACCGGACCCTTTACTTGTGCTGTCGGCGCATAACTCATACAGTTTCTTGATCGAACTTTGAACCTCGGATATTCTAATGTGTTGGAGCTGCTCGAGGCGGTGGTTCGTCAAGAGTTCAAGCGTGGCTAGTTTGCGCACATGGCGCCAGTATGGACCGTATGGGCTAATCGCCATCATTGCGCTGTTGTAGCCGAGCAGCTCCGGGGCTAAACCCTTTGGGCGGGATGCGAAAATTGTGTCGTTTGTGGTGAAGCACTCTCGCGCTATTTCCCAACTGCTCACGACAAGGGCTGTGTTCACTCCCAATCTTAAGGTAAAGATAGGTCCGTAGGCGTCGGCCATTTTGGCCAAGGTTATGTGAGTTGGCTCTGTGGCACTGAGTTTATGGAGGTGGCCGATCAGTGGCAAACGACCGGGGGGTTCAGGTGGAAGTGTGTTGTTGGTGCGGTGAGCGGCGGATCTCCGAGAAGTAATAGCAAAGAGCGCATAGAGAAAGAGGAGAAGGGCGAAGGTTGCGGGTAAGATGTGAGTAAGTTCCATTTGTGGTGGGCGTGGGTTGTCCAGTTTGTAGGATGTCTATCAGATTTATTGTTATTTGGGCAGCCTCAATAGACAGTGACTTTCACTAGTAGTGTGGTCATTTTGATCCTATTGCATTGTTACATCAACAATAATGTTACCAATTATTGTTATATATATTAATCACAAATTATTACTTTTAATTCATTTTCTTTTTTCTTTTTCTATTGTCATTATAATAATGAGAGTTGGTTTGAAAACTTTAATGATTCTAATCTTTTTCAATCTATTCCATCTTTTACTATTATATTAATAATTAATAATACATAAACCTTAGTTAGTTAGTTTAGTTAATGTACCATTTTTAGTTATTCGGGGCGTATTATAAAGCAAGATTCATGAGTATTTTCAAGAACAAGGATACATAATACATAAGAATGACCAAAATTTGTACGAAGAAGGAAGGTAAGAGTGATTTTCATCGTTATCTACCTCTATGTCGATGATATCATTCATAATAGCGCTTCTAACTGTGTTTTGGATAAATTTAAGTTTTAAGATGAGTAAATTTGAGATGTCACTATTTTCTTGGCCTATAAGTATATCAAGTGATTGGAGATGAATTTATGAGTAAATTTAGTATGTTCAATTGTAAGCTTGCTGCCACACCCATAATATTAATGAGAAATTACAACATGAAGGAGTAGAAATGATAGATATTAGAAGGTTCAGGAGCTTGGTTGGCAGATTGTTTACTTAACAAACACGACCCGGTATTGTATTTTTTGTTGGTGTTATTTCCATGTTTATGCAACCGCTATCAAAGTTTCATTAGGGCGTCATAGCAAGAAAGATTTTGTGAATGTGGAAAAACTTATATGTCGGAGTACTTCAAGGAGTGTTGCCAACTAAGGTTTCTACCTTCTTACAAGCTAAGTTTCTACAAAGGTAGAGTTGCCAATGGATGCTTGACACGTGTCCGAGTCATCGTCTTCTTCCTGTGATTTCCATAATACAATTACTTTTTCCATTTTCTTTGCATTTTCATATTTCTTTCTACGTAAATCGGATTAACACGGTTCTTTCAACCATATGTTACTAACCACAATTTCAGGCGTTTAAGGATTAAATTACGGTTGACTTTGACCAGAATTCTAATTTTCTATCATTTTTCTTTTATATTTTTACTAAGTTCCTCTATTATTTCAAGTATTTTTCTCTACGGTCAAATCTACAAATTTGGTCTCTAAGATCCTAAATAAAATCTTAAAAGTTCGACTTAATAGAAAAATTAGATTTTTAAACTTTTCATCGGGCTCGGGTCTTAAGATACTACACTTTTACTTATAGTTTCATTTATTGTCTTCAAGACCAAAATCATTTGTAAACTAGATTTGATAGGGGTGGACTTAAAACAACTTCGAGTGATGTTTTTCTTGGAACACTTGATCCAAAACCCTCTTCCACGTCAAGTAATTCTTTTGATGGCCTCCCAATTTCAAATTTCTGAAGTAGATTTGCAAGGGTAGGATGCATAAATCGAAGGGCAAATGAGATTCCAGGATACATTCTTCGACCACTTCCAAATACATTAGTTGTTGATTCTTCGACCACTTCCAAATACATTAGTTGTTGATTCTTCGACCACTTCCAAATACATTAGTTGTTGATTTTGTCCTCTCATGTCAAACTGTGTGTGGCTTGCTAAGAATCTATCTAAACGAAATTCACAAGAATCCTCCCAAACAAGTGGGTCTTTTTGCAATTTTTGAACATTCCCTATAAGTCGTGTCCTTGCAGGGATATGATAGCCTGAAACTGTACAATCTTCTATAAATTTAGGAGGGATTAATAACTACAGGATATACACGCAATGTCTCTTTCACAATGGCTTGGAGATATGACATTTTTTACATCAGACTCTTTCACTTATTTTGATCTTACAACATTTTCATCTAATTATACTAAATTTATATCTTATTGAACTTATTTTTCATACATGTCACAACTATAATCACACACTATACAATACGTGTTTACAAGTAGATACATTTACAAGTAGTTTCATTTATTGTCTTTGACTTCATTTCAAAGCTATTCGTAGACTAGGCTCGGTAGGCGTGGATGTAAAACAACTTCAAGTGGAGTTTTTTTTAGAACGGTTATTCCAAAACCTTCATCCATATTCAGTAACTCTTCAGATGGCCTATCGATTTCAAATTCATGAAGTAGGCTTGCAAGAGTAAGATGCATAAGTTGAAGCGCAAATGAGATTCCAGGACACATCCTTCGACCAGACCCAAATGGCATTAGTTGCAGATTTTGACCTCTCATGTCAAACTTTGTGGCGCTTGTTAAGAATCTTTCTGGACGAAATTTACAAGGATCCTCCCAAACAAGTGGGTCTTCTTGTAGTTTTTTAACATTCACTAAAAGTTGTGTCCGTGCAGGGATATGATAGCCTGAAACTGTACAATCTTCTACAGATTCATGAGGGATTAATAACGGCACTGCAGGATACAAACGCAATGTCTCTTTCACAATGGCTTGGAGATATGGTAGATTTTTGACATCGGGTTCTTTCACTTGTCGTGATCTTCCAACTTTTCCATCTAATTCAAGTTGTGCTTTTTTTAGTGCTTGTTGGTTGTTGAGGAGTAGAGAAAGAGCCCATGTCATGGTAATCATTGTAGTGTCATATGCGCCCAGTACCATAGCCTATACAATATTATTCCATCTCAAAATTCAATCATGGAAGGAAAGGCTTTTAAAAATCCGAATAAGATTGAAATACATATATATGCTTACGAAACAAGTGGCTTTGGTGACTGTGTCGGCATCAAAACCACCTAACCCTCCGTGGTCGCTGACAGGAGAAAGCATGACATCCATGAAGTCTTGCTCCTCTGTTTCCACTCCACCTTCACCCCAATTCTTGTTCTTCTCTCGATGTTCTTCGATCCATTTAGTAAGCATTTGGTCAAGCACCTTGGCGGTCTTGTTCATGGCCTTCTTATACCCTCCCAAATCCAACCAACTTAGACACGGAAACGAATCTGAAGGAACAAATGCTCCAAACAGTTCAAAAACATCCCTCAACGCCTCTTTGTACTGCTCCGCGCCACTGCCTTCGAAAACAGAGCTCAGTCGCTTTCCCACCACCATCCTAAGTATTGTATTCAAACTTACATCCCCAAACCACCTCCTCATCTCAACCCTCACTTTCCCACCTGATCCCTTATTTAATTCATACAGTTTCTTGATCGAACTTCGAACCTCGGACATTCTGATGTGCTGGAGCTGCTCCAGGCGCTGATTTGCGAGGAGTTCATGCGTGGCTATTTTTCGGACATGGCGCCAGTATGGACCGTACGGGCTAACGGACAGCAGTGTGTAGTTGTAGCCGAGCAGCTCTGAGGCTAAACCTTTTGAGCGGGAGGCGAAGATTGTGTCGTTTGTGGTGAAGCACTCTCGCGCTATTTCCCAACTGCTCACGACAAGGGCTGTGTTCATGCCCAATCTTAAGGTAAAGATAGGTCCGTAGGCGTCGGCCATTTTGGCCAAGGTTATGTGAGTTGGCTCTGTTGCACTTAGTTTATGGAGGTGGCCGATCACTGGCAAACGACCGCCGGCTTCCGGTGGAAGTGTGTTGTTGGTGCGATGAGCGGCGGATCTCCGAGAAGATATACGAAAGAGAGCATAGAGAAAGAGGAGAAGGGCGAAGGTTGCAGGTATGTTGTGAGTAAGTTCCATTTGTGGTGGGCGTGAGGTTTGCAGTTTGGAAGGGTTTATATCAGATTTATTCACATTAGAGCAGAGGCTGAATCGACATGGACCATCAAAAGTAGTGTGGTCCTTCTCATCAAATTGCATTCATACATCAACAATAATCTTAACAATTATTTGTTTTTAATTGATTTTATGGGAAACTTTTATGGTTGTTAATAGCCCAACAATCTTTTTTTCTTCTTCTATTGTCATTATATTAATGAGAGTTGGTTTGAAAACTTTAGATTACGGATCATTATTGATACTGATCTTTCTATTCTGTCTTTTTCTATGATATTAATAATTAATAATACATAAACATTATTTAGTTGAGTTAATGTTCGGATATATTATGCACCAAGATTCATGGGTATTTTCAAGAATAAGGATACATAATACGTGAGAATAAGTAAAATTTGTACAAAAAAGGAAGGTAAGAGTGATTTTCATCATTTATGCCTTTATGTAGATGATATCATTCATAATATCTCTTCGAACTCTCTTTTGGATAAATTTAAGTTTTAAGGATGAGTAAGTATATCAAGTTGAAGATGAGATTTTTATTTCATAAAGGAAATAGCTAAAGATATTAAGAGTAAATTCAGTATGCTCAATTGTGAGCTTTCAGCCACACCCATAAATATTAATGAAAAATGAGAAGGTTATATGGGTTCAGAAGCTTGGTTGGCGAATTGATTTATTTAACGCATGGACGACCTAACCTTGCATTTCCTATTGGTGTTATTTCCATGTTTATGCAACAACCTTCCAAGGTTAATTATGGAGCAAACAAAATGAGTCTTGCGTTATGTTGCTAAACTATGGAATATGGAATTTGATATTCTAAATCTTCTAATTTCACATTATATGGGTTCACGAATAACGATTGGGTATGATCAATAGATGATAGATGGAGTATTTCAACCAATGTTTTCATTACTTGGGATGTTAAAGAAGTAAGCACAGTGACGGTGTCAACTTCAGAAGCAGAATATGTTGCTGCAATGTATCAAACCATTCGACTAAGAAGAGTGTTAGGTAATGTTCAAGAAGAGCTTAAATGAGCCAAACAATCTATCTCTGTATGAACCAACCCAACATTCATTCAACATTAGTCTGTCTCTAATTCTAGTAGTTGGGATTAAAAGATGATTCCATTAATGGATTGTTTGGGAAGTGGGAATTTTGATTATTGGTCTAGAGATGGACGGTGGCAAAGAAATATGATAAAGCATTAAAAGATTAACAAGTCCGATTTAATATCGTTACAGAATACGATTGCGAGATTACTCATAAATATGGGCAGGTAAGCGTGGAGTTAAGACAACTTCAAGTGGAGCTTTTCTGAGACTGGTCAATCCCATACCCTCTTCCATGTCGAGGAGTTCTTCTGATAGCCTCTCAATTTCAAACCCATGTAAAAAGTTTGCAAGTGTGATATGCATTACTTGAAGGGCAAAGGAGATTGCAGGGCACCTCCTTCGGCCATTTCCAAATGGTATGAATTGTGGACTTAATCCTCTAACATCAAAGTTCTTTTGGCCGGTTAGAAATCTTTCTGGACGAAATTCACTAGGTTCTTCCCAAACACGTGGGTCTTTTTGGAGCTTTTGAACATTAACTATGAGACGTGTCCCTTTGCAGATGTGGTAGCCAGCGACTGTGCAATCCTCGACTGATTCATGAGGGGCCATTAACGGTACAGCAGGATACAACCGTAGAGTTTCCTTAACAATAGCTTGGAGATACGGTAGATTTTTTACATCAGACTCTTTTACTTGTCTTGATCTTCCAACTTTTTCGTCTAATTCAAGTTGGACCTTCTTGAGCGTTTCTTCGTTATTGAGGAGTAAACAAAGAGCCCATGTCATGGTAACCGCGGTTGTGTCAAATCCGCCAACTATCATATTCTACACCAATTTGAACAAAAGGTTATTGATCCATACCAAATTTGAGAAGAACATGAAAAGACAGAACTTACCAAGCATGTAGCTTTAATGATCGTATCAGCATCGTAGCTGAAATGTTGTCCATCTTCTTCAACTCTAGCAATCATCACATCCATGAAGTCCTTCTCCGCCGTCTCCGCTTCGCCGTCGTTTCTTCTCTCCCGATGTTGTTGGAGGAATTTATGAAACGCCTCATCTATTATTTTGGCTGTCTTCTTCATTGTCTTCTCATGTCCTCCCAAGTCCAACCAGCTCAGAAACGGAAACGAATCCGAAGGAACGAATATATGGAACAATCCAAAGAAATCGATCAACGCCTTGGGGAAGTTTTCAGTACCATGCTGGATGGCGGAGAATCGCTTTCCAATCACCATCTTGAATATGGTATTCAGGGTTATGTCTGCCAACCACTTCTTCATTTCCACCGCCACTTTCTCACCTCTTTCATTGCTTTTAATACTCATTTTGTGTAGCTCCTTCATCCAGCGCTGTACCTCGAATGCTCTGATGTGTTGGAGCTGCTCGAGGCGGTGGTTAGTGAGGAGCTCGAGCGTGGCTATTTTGCGCACTTGGCGCCAGTGTGGAGTGTATGGGCTGAACCCCATCATCGCATAATCATAGGCAAGAAGCTTTGAGGCCACAAGCTTTGGACGAGAGGCGAAGATTCTGTCGTTTGTGGTAAGAAACTCCTTTGCTATTTCCCAACTGCTCACAACCAAGGCCTTTTTCATACCGAACCTTAACGTAAACATGGGCCCATAGGCATCTGCCATTTTGGCCAACACTATGTGAGTTGGGTCTCCTGCATGGAGCAGATGGAGGTGGCCAATGAGCGGCCAAGCGCCACCGGCCTCCGGTGGGATCCTCTTCCGATGAGCGACAGATCTCCGGGACGAAGTGAAGAGAACATAGAGAAAGAAAAGAAAGGGGAAGATTATTCCGGCGAGGGCGTAAAGGTGTTCCATTTGTGGTGGTCAGGATTTGGAGAGTTGAGGAGTGAGTATATGAGGCGATGCCTCTCCGGACTCCAAAAACAAATTAAATGTAGGAATGTAGTATTGGCGGGATATTATTGATTGTGGATGTCCGTATATGAGCTAAACTAAAAGCGGTGAATTATTGTATGAATGCAGAACTATGATCACGATGGAGAAGCTTGGGGATAAGATTTGGAAATCCACGGCTGAGAATTCATTTTTGTATAGATTTCTTAGTTTGTTTCCTATAATATTTTAAGGTTTCAAACATACAAATTGATTTTATAATATTTTAAGGTTTCAAACATACAAATTGATTTTATAATATTTTAAGGTTTCAAACATACAAATTGATTTTATAATATTTTAAGGTTTCAAACATACAAATTGATTTTATAATATTTTAAGGTTTCAAACATTCAAACATCCTACCCATCGCCTAGTACAACCATTCAATACTATTTTTTTTTTATTCTGTTCTTAAATATCAACCACATAAAAAGTTATTTAAATTTTTTTTTTTTTTTTGTCTAACGATGGAGAAGTTAAATGACACTTATATATATATATATATTAATAAAATTCTCTTTTTGGAACAAAACTCTTTATCTGCTTTCGCCCGATCACGGTTTTAAAATGCGCCTAGGAGAGATTTTTACGTCTTTATATAAAATGTTTTGTTCTTCTTTCCAATCGACATGAGGTCTCACAATCTACCCCTTGGGGGCTAGTGTCCTCGCTAGCCGCTCAATGTCCGGCTCTGATACTATTTGTAACGTCTAAGCCCACTGCTAATAGACATTTTCCATTTTAGCTCGTTATATATCGTTGTTAGTCTCACGATTTTAAAACGTGTCTGTTAGGGAGAGGTTTCTATATCTTTATAAGAAATGTTTAGTTCTCCTCTCCAACGGACGTGTGATCTCACAGAAGTTTAAAAAACTTTGATGGAAAGCTCAATATGGATTAAGAGGACAAAATGGACTTGGGTTGTTATAAATGGTACGAAAGTCCAAAGAAAACAGTGTGCTGAGATGACACATCCTTTGACAAGTTCTAATGCATACATCTTTTGAGTATTCACCATTAGACGTATCTTTGCAAAGATGAGATAGCCATAAAATATCTTTTTAGAGATACATCGGATTTTTAACATTAGACTCTTTCAATTGTTTGGAAACTTCTCTCTGACATACACGTTTTAAAACTTGGGAGAAAGTAAAAAAGAACAATATTTACTAGCGATGAGTTTGGACTGTTACAAGTGACCTCTCGATTTCAAACTCATGTAGCAAGTTTAAGAAAATCCTAAAGAAGACAATATTTGTTAGTGGTTCGATTTGTGCGGTTACAAGTGGCCTCTTGATTTCAAACCCATGTAGAAAGTTTGCAAGACGGAAATGCATTATTTGAAGGTCACATCTTTGGACCATTTCAAAATTGTGTATACTGTAGTCACATGGTCCCTTTCAAAAAAGTGAGTCTTTTTTGGAGCTTTTGAACATTAACTACGAGGGATGTCACTCTTCCTTTAAATGTGTGGCAGCCAAAATCTGTGCAATCTTCTACTCACGAGGGACTAACAATGATATAGATTCTGACTTCATTTGTTTTTAATGTGTAGAAAGTTTATGAGCTCCTATCCAAAGATGTAATACCCGAAGAAAGAAAGAGACAAAAAAAAAAAAAAAAAAAA